ACTGTCAGCTTGAAATTACCTGCAGATTGAAATTTAGCTGCAATCGTTTATGCCTACACAAATGCTAAATTGGTATGGAATGCTTTAAAAAGATTCCAAAGCACTATAATACGTAATAATGCATTAACCGAAAATCTAATCAAAATCTTTTTAAAAACGGAAGTTCAGAATGTCAATCAACTGCTGCTATGTCTACATTTGCAGTTTAAACGCACCTGAGTAGATTTACGTTTTATGTGTTATGCGAATTTACATCAGATAACAGTAATTGAAATCATTATTTGTCTATCGAACGTCGTAATGAAATTGTCTAAATGTTAAGTCAATTAATTAGGCTCTTTTAGGTAAGTTTATTTGTTTAGAGCAGAAATTGTTTTTTAAGGCTAAATTACAAAGGGAATTAAGAAAAATAATAGCACTCTGGTTTCTGGTTGGATTTAGAGCTTGAGATTAAGTGAGTTATGCTCAGCAATTTCATCTGTTGTGTGATTATACTGCAAACCAATTTTATTCAAAACAATATTGGTTATACCGTGAGAATGGAGGTATAAATAAACGGTACGCAAAACCCATCTTTAAGCTATTTGCCACGGCATCTATATTTGTTAATAATGTCGTCCCAAGGAAACTCGTTCTAAGGATGTCCAAGTCTGAGCTCACATAATTCGTACATAATTGAAAAAAGAAATCTGACGATCACATTGTCTTTAATAAACCGTCTGTCGTTTTGACAAAGACGTTGTGGTTTGATCATTTACTTTAATCCTCGTTTCACCGAGAGCAGTACATGGTCTTAAACCCGAAATTTAGTGTTAAATTATTGATGAATCAGATAGGGGATTAGAGAGAAAACGTGCGACAAATTGCCTCCACGGCAATTTCCTTATCGCTTTTGAATATGCAGAGTACGCTATACCTTTAATGGGGGATTAAGTTGTCAGTGGGACAAATTCATGGCTAAGGGTGTGTCTCTATGCATAGAAACAATCTAATATCGCCTTAGTTGAGGCACCAGGTGTGATTCGCCTTGTCGATGAAGGGTGTTAAGGAGAAACCTCGAATGTAGATTTAACGGGAAGTCTAGATTCTTGACTTTAATCTATACTCAGACATGACATTTTGAGAAATCTTGGTAAAGTTTCAATAAAAAACTCTTCATTATGAAAGTTGGATCTTGCTACTGAAACCAGAATTATGCTACTGAAACCAGGATCGGTTCTTTCACAGCAATTCTACAAACATTTCAAATCCCTATGACAGACTTGCAATAAATGTTTCAGATTTTTCTCTAAGAATCATTCTAGGAATTCGACATGCATCAGCAATTTTAAAAACTGTTGTTTTGAAATAATTTGGGAAGTAATTAAATACACTACCTTGAAGAGTTCTTTTAAAGTATCTTTAGCTAATAACTGCCTCTGAATTAAAATGCATTAATTAAAAGTTACACATATTAGTTCTTTCTTTCACGTCTGTGCACTATGGATAAGAAAACATGCACATTATTATCAAGGCATTAGAAAAGTACAAAATAAGAAACCACAAAATTAAAAGTATTATGGCTGCCTAAAAGAACTGTGGGGTGATCCAAAGTGTTAGACTGTTGATGACTGGAAGGGAGAAGCAACGGAATGGAATACTTGTACTAACTATAGTTTATATTACTGTAGTTTTTTACTTTAAAATAGGCACTTCAAGGTCATAGCGATTCTCTCCTTTTTTACGATCGCAACGTGTTTAGGATTCATCAACGGGTTATCCAAGTTTTTTTCATTAGATGAATTAGATGTTGCGAATCTTATGCCACATACGTAAAATCAAAACACGTTTAATTAATAAACTTTGTCTGTGTCATGTTTTATGTATTATATGATATCTTTTCCCCGTCACGAATTTTACAATTTTTATAATAAACACATGTGTTAAACACACAGCCAAGCCAAGAGTAGAATGAATGACGCACTTACAACTTAAAAATATGAAACAGGGGAGAAAATTGAAATGTAATAGCTTAAATACCTATTAATTTAAAAGCGCTAAGTTTATTCAGGATGAGCAATTCTGAAATTTGCATAAGGTGTTTAAATCTTTAGCACGGCTTTTCACTACGTATGCTTTTATTAAGTAATTATTTAATAATGATGTTTACATGTATGTAACTATTACTTACATATTACTTTACTATGACTGACGAAGAAGATCGACATATTTCCGCAAATTTCTTCATTTCGTGATTATATAACACCATGTTTTACATTCCTTTTAATTCCAACGCAACTTTTATAATTAAGCTTTTGACCGTTATCAACATCTGATCTTTTTTTAAAACCTTCGAACGGATGTAATAAAACTTTCCGATCAACATGATCTGCAAAAACCAGTGGCTGATTATAGAAGTTTGAATTACAGTTTACCGCAAAAAAATAGCATAAGTAACCTTCAGGAGAATTCAGCTTTTCGCTACCCCAATCGAATTTTAGCGGAACTATTAGAAAGCAGACCTCATGAATGAATGTCGTATCTTTGCGACAATAACATTTCATAGCGATGCCTAAGTGCGGTATTTAACTGCAAATTCTCGCTTTTAAAGATGTTATCGCTGTTATGTAAAACTCTATATCTTCGTTCTACTGGAAATTGAAGGATGCTACTGATTGCCTCCGGATCGATATCGGGCTGTCTTCCGCGTCTGGTAATTAGTCCCTCTACATTGGCAAATATAATGGCTCAATAAAATCGCTAAGTGCAGGTGAATTTTGTAGAATATAGGACCTGTTTACTGATTTTATTCTGCCACGTTTTATTACAGTTCCGCTGGGGTAGAAAATCGATTTTGTTCTAAAGGCGTAGTCCTTTCCTTCCATTACCTAATACTAAAACAAGTTCATTTTGTCATTTTGAATTTTACATTTTGCTAATGTATACGATTCGGATAAATTTCCAATCTATAAATGGATGATTTCAAATCGAATTTTTGCCAACAGTGAAAAAAATCAGAAAGCTTAGATTTTTCTTCTTATAATTATTAAAAGAGTAAGAGTTTCTATATACGAAATAAGTAGCTGGTTACTGTATAAATGCAGCTGTTACACGGAAGCACTATATTTGAGTTTCACTTGTAAAGTCATTAGATTATTTTGAAGCAGGAGACACGAAAAATGTGCAATGCCCTCGCCGGAACTCGAACGCTGGACCTCACGAACACGTTCGAGTATGCTTCCAATTACACCACGGAGGCATGAGGAAAGGAGGGAAAAAATATCTTATACACTAACTAAATTCGATTTTATTTCCTATCTTTACAATGTCTCATTTCGTCAGGGGCTCACTCATTCCAGTAATTAATGCAGATTTAAGTGGTAAGCAGTTTAATATATATATATATATTGGTCCAATGGCAGATTGTGAACAATTACAAATGTAACCCAGTCCATTAATCTATACAAGGCCGGATGTGGTGGTCTCTTTATTATGGAGGCACCTAATAAGTGGGCCACCATCGCTTTTCCTGTGAAGAGACGGACAGTTACAACCTTGCCTTCTCTGGGATTCGAACCCAGGCCCATCGGCATCGCAGTCGGCATCGGCATCGCGACTGGGCTGTTTTATGTAAAGTTAGGGGAATAGTTTCGCAACCATATGAGAGTTTTGCATTAAAGCCGGCTGTCTGCCGCCCAGTTTGTCACTTGGCGAGTAGCTTCTGCCTCGCGCAAGAGTAAAATCTCAAGATAGACTTTATGGTTATTCAGATTTTGAGTAGCTGCTAGTGATTTGTATACCTTCAGCCTCTATTAGATATTGCACTTACAAGCAGTTTAAAGGAAACTTTTGTGTTCTCAGCCAGATTCAGGTGACTGGTAATTTTGAGGTATAATTTTTTAATTTAACCTTCACAAGTGGTGAGGTGGAATAAATTGAAATTTCAAGCAATGTCAGTGTCTATGTGCTAGTAAAGCTTATTAAATTTGTGGTGAAAACTCGCCCGGGAACTTCACGTAACACCTGGGTAAACTGTTTTTGAGTTAGTTAAGATTAAATTAAGCCTCAGACAAGTGTTACAATATTATTGCAAATGAAGTTCATAAAAAAGAAATTTATGGATTATATTAAACGTGGATTACCTTCAGTTCAAGGCACAGGAAAATCAAAGTTTCAGAAAACAAATTTCACACAAATAATAATAATAATAATAAAATTATTTAATAGTCAATAGACACGGACTTTAACCCTTTCACTGCCAATGGGTGTATATGTCATTTATTTGGCCTGCTGGGATATACATATCCTTTTAAAAAAATTCTAAAGTATGTGTTTTATATATATATATAAGATTTCTTTAAACCAGTTGAATATAACACTAAAATTTATAGTTTAACACAAAAAATTACAAGCATGTGTAAAAAAAATGAGTAGTGAAAGGGTTAAGTAAGCTAACGGCACTTTTTTATTTTTAAAATAGCTGTTAAATGCCGAACATTTAACACTTAAAAAATGTAAACATGCAAAAAAGTTAAACATAAATGCAAAGTATTTTCATGTGAACTCTTCCTAAAATACCATGGTAGCTATGTTACCCCATGTCTTATAACATAAAAAAATCGAGTTGAATGAAACTTTTTATAATAATACAAAGATACAGAATTTTAAAACTGCTTGAGGAGTATTTGAGGAATGGGATAAGGTCCTTTATAACTTGCTTAGAAACGCTTTAATCTTCAACATTTTTAGTCTTTCATATTTTCTAACTGAACTGCGGAACTAGCAAATTTTGATAAGTTTAAAATTTAATTGACCGTAGCTTTAATAAATTTGGAGCTATTCACCTAAAGCTCAGATTTGTTGACAAAAAGTGTGATTTTCAGTGAGCTTGAGTATGCTTGCGTGAGATTTCATGTTAGTAATACACATATTAAAAGAGTAGTGAATCTGTGTAAATCAAATAAAACTAGTAAATTGTGAAGACTGTTTCACATATTGCAATAGAATTAACCCATACTTACTTCGCTGATGACAGCCTTGCCTTGTATTTTTTCCTCCTTATATGTGTCCTCCATTTGATAAACCATTGAAGCAATCTGAATTGACCTGTAATGTTAAATGATATTTATAAAAAATTGTATTGAAGTTCACAGAATTCATATTTACTGTAGCCTTATCAGAACGTTAATTTTTATAACAATACTTAAAAAGAGTTAAACATGCATTTAAGCCCAAAATCAAAGCTTATAATTAGAGGTAAGAGTAAAAAGTAAATTGAAAATCGATGAAAGAATACAGGGAAAGATTTTATAAAGATGAATCATTATGACATGACTCGAAAAAGAAATTAAATCATTAATTAAAAAAGTGCTCTTTTTCATGCAGTTATTTCATCCGAGGTACCCAACTGCTGCAATTATCATTTACTTTTTTTATAATAATCGTTTATTTTTTTCTGCTTTGCATCTGCATTAATAAATTAATATCCTGGGCGCAAAGCATACTACAAGAGCGAGCAAATGCTGAAGGAAAAAGCTCGATTAAGATATCAAACCGTTATAGCTCGTAATTACGGAGTTAGTGATTATATTTTGTTTCTAAATCACCCCACTGAAGCATAGTTTCTGATATAAAAAGCTGCAGTGCGTTCCTATTCAGACAGCTGTAGAAAACCAAGCCATAAAGCATTAATCATAGCACAAATGGGGATAGAAATTAACATGGATGAAAAGCGAAAACAAAATTGCAAACTGTCCAAAGCGAAAATGTTTTGATTTTCTTTTTTTAATGGCACCGAAAATTTTGAGCGCTCGTATAACTTTGATTTGATAGTTTTATAAATGTCATATAAAAAATATCAGCGCTAAATTGTCCATGTTGGAATAGCTAGTTTGCGTGACTTACCACGGGAGGAAGGGGGAACTAGACGCCGGACAACGATTATGAAAATCCTACTCATTCTTCCTTAATAACTGCAATTATAATGGAACTGCTCTAAAGACTTGCAGAACGTGCGCCGGATTGAAATTAGTTTCTTTTTTGTTTTATTGCTGGTATCATTACTGATCATAGTTTATCAAAGCTAGCAGTTCCAAAATTAACGAATATTACAACTCCAAATTTTGCAAGTGATTCAAACTGATTGAAAAACTTATTATCGAATTGCCTACTCGACACGTCGAATCTTTGGATAACTCTATCAAAATAACAGTAGGGATTTTTAAAGTTAAGTAGATTACTTCAACTAACTTCTGAAATTGCGGAATATCCTCGATCATAGATCCTAATATTCGTTAAGGATTCGTGTTGAAAGAAAAGTTATAAAGAAAGTTTTCTTACACAGTTTCTTTCTAAATCCCATTAAAAAAATTTTAATAGATTTCCTTGGCCAATTGTTTCATTTGGCAACACAGTTGTTCATGATTCTTTTTGTTCTATTTCCTCTATTTTATGTTAATTAACTCATTTTTATGATTTGGATCTTTGCTATAAATTCTCCTTTTCGTAGCCCTCACAAGACTGGAATAATTCACGCCTATTTAAGGCGAAGGTTTTGAAAGGTTTAAATACAGAGCTTCTGGCAGCGACGCTTGTAGCTATACTTCATTTAATATTCCGGCATTAGCCATTTTCTAGCTGAAGTTAAATCGCATCATTAGAGTTTAAGCCAGCTTAGTTAAACCAAACTGTGTAGACTCAGGCTACGAATCCATTTTAAATTGTGAAGTCAATTTATTGTTATTACCTAGACAGGGTAGTGGTTAGTGACGCTGACTAACATACTGAAGTTCCGAGTTTGATTCTCCGAGAAGGCATGAATGTTTGCATAGTGTCTCTGTGGTTAGGGAAAACTCAAAACACACGATGAACAGAAAGTCCTCTCGAGGGCGTGGGATAGGGAAAGAGGAGCAAGAGATCCTAGGACAGCTTCCTGGTGTTTTCTCCTTAAAACTGATGAGAAGTTTTAGAATTAGCAAAGGGCGTCAATATGTAATACACCTACGGGAATGCACATGTACTGCCCTTGCTTCAACCTTGTTATTTGAATACCCATTTAAGTGGTGGAGTTTTAATTGTATACACAGGTTATGCATTCTGTTACATTCAAATTTTAATAAAAAAGTGATTTATCTGAAACCTCTACAGGACTTTGTCATATTTTTACAGACGAAGCCGTACCTCGCTTGCCAATGTAATAAGATTCGTAAAACATTTAAGTTAAAATTACGCATTTAGGGCCCTATAATATAGGCTCGCAATAAGTGTAGAGCAAAAATATTATTTTATTCTTCTACATATAGAGCTGAGTAATTATAACCACGTTTGTATTTATATTCAAAAGGAGTAAAGCGAACAAGAAGGTAGCGCCATCTGTCGGCGGAAATAGTGACGAAAGTTAAAAATTAAGCTGAGAGAATTTTAAACGCGTTAGGAAGAATCGGATTGGAAGTAAGGTCATTAACTAAACAAAATAAATCTTTGTGAGTGGGAAAAGCTTCAAGAAAATACTATTCACCAATGGAAGAAGCTTTCTGGATAATTTTTGCAGATCAAAGTCAAAATTGTAATTAAATTTCCAACTATGATTAGCTATCGAAGACTCGTTAATTTCTAGACATAAGATTTGTGTGCCTTGATGTGAAACTTTAACGCTGTTTTAGTTTGGCCGATATATCTTAAATTGCAGTGACAACATATGCTACATATTCCTCAAGAATTAAAATCAGAAAAGGTATCTTTAAGAATTCAACCATGGATTTTATTAATAGGCGAGAAAATGACTTCAAAATTTTAGTTCTGGAGAATCCGTGTAATTTAATTGAAATGGAAGCACGCAAGATTATTAAGGCTATTTCTAACACCGGAATTCCTTCTGTAGCGGCAAGAAGAAAATTTCTTAAAGGCTTTTGAATGACCAAGGGAGAAAATTCTCGGTCAGTGCAAACTGATCTCAAATAATTGAGTTCATTTGCAAGCAAAGGCAATAGCACCATTTTTTCCTTAGCTGGATGACATGGGAGACAAACAGAACCGTATTTGCAATAAACAGTAGTGCTGAAATCACATACAATTGGAATTAGTAGAATAAATCAAGGAAGGGAAGGGAATCAATCGAATTTATAACAGATAAAATCTAGGACGAATCTGCTTTATTAGCATCAAAAAGCGCGAATGTGTCGCCTGCGTAGCGAATTCAGAAACAAAAGATATTTTCTCAAATAATTTGTCCTCAAAATAGTGCATGTAAATGTCACCAAAATGATAATTAAAAGGTGATACTTCAATTTGGTTGTAACATTCATTTTGGAAGACAAAGTGAGTTCGACTCAAAGAGACTTTAAGAAGAAGAGAAGAGAAGGTAAGAGAAATTAACGCTCCAATTTCAGCACGTGTGAAATAGAAGCCTATTTTCAAGACATTTCAGTGCTCCTTCGATTGAAACATTAATAAACAGTGCTTTAGCATCAAAAGAAACCATAATGGAGCGCAGAAGAGAAATATCTTTAAGTTTATCGACGACTTCCAAAGAATATTTTACAGCGTGAATATTGTTAGAAAGTAAAAGAGAAATATGGAAACTAAATATTTGATTAATGGAGATGATGTCATTCTTAAATTGGAAACTATAGGTCGAAAAAAAATTCCATTTTTGTGGACTTTGAAGAGAGCATAAAACTTAACACAGTTAGCATTAGGTGGAATAAGTGATTCTTTTTTAAACTGCTTTGGAAGTATTGCGAAGATTTAACAGCTCTTTTAACTTTCATGAGTTTAGAAGTTGAAGAAGCTTTATTGATCGACCCCTTTTGGGTATCAATATACCAAAGTACGTTGCTAAATTTATCCCTGCAATCCCCTGCTAAGAGGTGTTTTTTTTTTTTTTTTTTAATATGTAAATCATGTGAAATGTCTCCAAAGGGGTTTATTTGATATGCCTGTATATCAGGATAATGTTCCTGGACACAGTTAAAATGTATCAAAATGTATCCTGTTAAAATGTATCAAAGTATCGTTGCAGATTTCTTTGTTCCTGATGAAGAGGGGCCTGTACCTGTTTTCCCTCGAAATCTATAGAGTAATTATGACTAAAATTTACGCCAAACACAAGGTTGTTATTTTGCTAATTTTATATCAAGTTAACTTTGGAATAACTGCGAAGGTATGATTCGTAAGTCAGAAGATATTGCCTTCGAAAGATAAATTTGCTTCTCAGAGTAGTAATCTTTGAAAAAGAACGTGGCATTCATATATTGCTTTCTTCTGTGATTATAATTAAGCATTTAAAATCTAAGATTAGGATTTTACCTTCTTGTAGAAATTCAATGCGACAAACGTGACTCAGTGTTTCGGATAGAAACATTTAACGTATAATTGCTGGCGAATAATTTGTATTCAAACACTCGGATGATAAAGAAAATTTAATACTCAAAATAGTTTTTTCATTGACATACTCTCTTAGTTTACTTATATTAAACTGAAATTTTTCTGCGTCTTAGGAATTTTACATTAACAGTTTTATTGACTTTCTTGAAAATCATAAATGAAAAATATTACGGTCTAATGAAATCGCGCTGTGTTACGTTAGCTGTAATACGCATAGATCCATATCCAAATTCAGATAATGAATTTCTTTTACACAAAATAATAGAAGACAAAAAAAAAAAAAAAAAAAAAAAAAAAAAAAAAAAAAAAAAAAAAAAAAAAAGCTGGTTGCTATAGAAAATATTGAAGTAAATGTAATATTTGATGCTGCATTCTGCTATCGTTATTCAGATTTTAGCGCCAGTTCCAAATGAATCCTACAAATCAACATCATGCCTATTCAGGTCCTTGGTTAATAGGCACACCAGTGGCCGAGGAGTGAAGTAGCTGAACACGGGGCTTTCGGTCCAGTGTTCGATTCTCTACAAGTGGGCTAACTGCATGGGCGTTTTCGTGGTTTTCCTCATATGTATACGAGCTACTGTCCCTTAGAAAATCCTTCACGAAGACATCCCTCTTAGGCAGAACCCTCGAGTGCTTTGTCACAACCAAATCAAACTTTAGAACTGGCCCCATCTTAAAGCCCATCAAAATTAATTTATTTTACTTCTAGGGACCACTTC